GAAAACATTAAATTCTTCTGTATTTAAACAAAAACTCATTAAATAAGATTAGGAAATATGAGCACATAGGTTTCTTTATTAATATAAATATAGTTATTCTGAAAGCATTAATCTTCCTAACAACTATAGTAATAAGAGATCCATAATTTCGAATTCTCATTTTTTTATCTCCATTTTCCATTTTTAAAACCATTTTCATCATATACTCCTCCCCCACTATTAATATGAATTTATATATAAATTAGTGATTCATACATAATTTATTTTTTTTCTCTAGTTATATTCCATCTACCTTATTTTATTCCATTTTTATATGCTCCATGATCATTCAATTCTTCTTTAATCCTAATATTATATTATTTTTCTCTATTACTCTTTAAGATTTTCTATATTCTCAAACCAATCTCCAACTTTGATACCATTTTCATCATAAAATCCTCCCCAACTATAAATTAGATTAATAGATTTACTTTATTTATTTTCCTTCTTTTTTAGCTTCCCATCTTCCAAACTTTTTTCCAGATATATATACTCCATGATAACTTATTAAATTCCTTGAATTACTATTTTTTAATACTGAACAAAATCATCATTTATTTCAATCCAATAACCAACTTTTTATCCATTATTATAAATTCCACTCCCTCTATTTTAAATATAAATTTTTCATAAAATTTCTTACATTACTTAATTTTATTCTGAAATGGTATCCCAAATTCCAATTTTTTTATCATTTTTATATTATCCTTAGGAAGAGATTTAATTCTAGCTATTAAATATGCATATTTTGTACAATGAGAAATTGTCAACTAACTCTATCCATTTTCCCTCCTTAATCCCATTAAAATTATAATATCCCTTAGTTCTATTTCATTTTATGAAAATAAAATATTAAAATTAATGAGCTTTACATGTATATAAAATTATGTGCAATAGTGTTCGACTTACCAAATTTTTTACCATTTCGATAAAAACCCTGACATGTTATCACATCATCATTTCTTAATTATTTTATAAATAATAATACATTATCCATCTATCTATTAAGTCTATCCACCATCCGTCTTTTATTCCATTCTTATCATAATATTCTCCACTTCTGCATTTATTCAATTATAAAATTATAATTAATATTTAAATTTACATATTTACATCTTTTGTTATCTTAGTGTTCCACTGCCCAATTTTTTTGCCATTTTAGTAGTTACCAACATTTCTCCATCTTTACATAGATAATATTTAAGTACTCAATGTCACAATTATCAATCATTTCTATCCAAGTTCCATTCTTTAATCCTTCTTCATTAAATAATCCGCCACCTCTAATTGATTAAATTTTACATACATTTAGTAGTTGTTAAGGATTTATATCCATTTACCACATTTCAAATTATTATGATATTCTCCTAATTCAAATATCCATGATCGTCTAACTTATTAATAGTTGTAATACATCATATTATTGAAATTTTTTTCTTTCCAAAGATCCTCCTTTTTCCTTATAATAACCACCTGCGTCAATAGTCTCACCATCCCAAGAAATAGTCCACTTTCCAACTTTCTGAGCATTCTATTTTAAACCATTCCAATATAAATTTTGTATTTCTTAAATATTTGTCATAATATCGGGTTTGTTTGAAAAATTATCATCTATTCATAATTTTATATTATTCAATACATTATTCTGTTCTAATTATTTCTCCATCATAAATATATTATCTTTAACCTGTTCCTAATAATCTTACTAGAAAGTTTTTTTTCCTTAATTTCAATTCTTCCCATTTGAATCCAGAATACTCTATTAAAGCCATTTCTTAGGTTAATCCTAATTCTTAAGGAAATTATGTAATAATTTGATTTAATATCATATTTTAAATATTATATTTCACATTGTAATTGATTTTTATTCTTAGTTTGAATTATTAGGAAGATAATTGAGAATGTGGAACTAAACCTTTCTTTCTTCTCTTAATAATTTCTAAGCAAAAAGATAATCATGAATCTTGTGAAATTTTTATAGATATTTATTATAAAATTTCGTTTTCTGATTTATCTATCTTATAGTACTATAAACTGTTTTATCATTATGAATTCCATCCAAATTCAATTTTCTGTAACTTAATTATTTTATTTCATTTTTTGGAGTCTATATTTTTAGTGATGATTAGATATTCCAATTGCATCAACAACAAAATTTTTAAAATGTAAAGTATTGTTTGAAGGCTAGAATATAATTTATTCGATTCATAATGATGATCGTTTTCTTGCATTTTAGATATCTATAAATACTTTTTGATTATAAAAGCATTGGCCACTTAATTAGAAAATTATTATTTTGTAAAGTATTATATTATTATAATAATGATTCTTTTTTGGCCTTAAATT